TTACTCACAGGTATTACAATGGGGCTTGTTGCAACCGTGGAATGGCATGGCTGGGTTTGATGGCTCTACTCACTTATGGACAAGGACCGGAGTGAAAAGTATTTGTGCAATGATTGTCCTCCTTTAGAGTGATTCAGTGGTGGTAAATGGTTAGAATTTAACTCGTAACACTTATTTATACCAAGTCCTCTACACACTTTTGGTATGTAATTTTTATATTTTATTCATCATGAATAATTTTGTGGCCTTGGGAATATTAATGCTATTGATTTCAAATGCGACATTCCAACATGTTGAAGGATATATTATATTAGTTTAATGAGTTTGACTGGTGGAGAGGTTTTGTAAATATTTGGTAATCATGAATTTTTTTATTTTGTGTTGTTATTTTACCCTCATGCTACCACTCCTCCTGCAATTTTCATAGCATTTAGACAAGGGGGATGTGGGGGAATTATTGATATAATGAATAGTTTTTGTTTACTAAGCTATTAGGAGTGACCCAAAGATAGTCATTGCCCAAGGTCAAAGCCTTCAGTGGAGTTCTGACCTTGACTGACTTTCTTAAAGTAGATTTTTGGTAAGATAATGAAGCTCTGTTTGACCTGTGAGATTAACACATTTTCCCCTTGTACACTGCATTGAGTTGAAAAAGATGTGATCTTTATTTATTTTTTTTCAGGTTTTGCCACACAGAAGAGGTAGTTCAGGGGCTCCATGCTGAACGGATATCATGTGCAACTAATTTAGACTAATTCTGTATGCAATTTCAAACTAAAAACAATAAATAGTTTCAGTTCAATCTAAAGAATAGGGGCCTATCTTCATAATATGTAAAGATCTGTTTGCTGAATTTCAGAAATGGTCCTGTTTCTAACTCATTTCATATTTTAGTGCACCTAGCACATGAGCCATATATATTGTAGAAAATATGGTCAAGGAGTGTATTTGGTCCTTGGCCAAGAACCACTATGCAGAAATGTAGTAACAAATGACAAGGGAAAAGATTCTCTGGACCCTGAGTTGGCTCCTTCCGAACCCTGTTGCTTTTGGTAACTCAGGACATGAGTCTGTCCATCCCAGGTAGACTGGGAGGAGTTGACCAAGGCTGAGGTTATTCCCTAGGCGAGTAACCACAGGAAGGTAAAGTGGTCCAGAGCCTGTAGCTGATGGATGGAGCTATTGGTGCAGATAGCAGCACCATTCTTGGTGTTTCAAGAAACAAGGACATGGCTGTAGTCATATTTTGCTCCACATATTTTTCCTTAAAAATCATATTAAATGAAGTTAGCCAGACCCAAAGAAACATAGGTCCCATGGTTTCCCTTATTTGCAATAATTAGTATATGTCTAGGATAATCTTAGCAGATGAGCAGAATTAGCTCAATAGCTACGTACATAGGACCACATAAGATGATGCTAAGTGAAAGAACTCCAAGACATGGACACAAGAGGATTTTCTTTGTTGTTGTTGTTTTTAATGTACTGTGGGATTTTTTGTTTCTTTTGTGTGTCCTTCCCCCTGCCGTATACCCCCTGTTGTCATTGTATTTGATGTTGGTACCTGGTATCGTACATACATTTATTTGAATTAGGGAAGGGAAGGGGAACAGCAGAATGGTGAGACAAAGGACACGGAGAACGAATCCAACAGCCATATTCACAAGTCAGTACGTTGGAGACGATCTGTACCACTGGGGGGGGGGGAAGGGGAGGAGAAAAAGGAAGGAAGGGGTAACAGGTTTGACAAGAAACCTACTTACTACCTTACTGTGTAACTGTCACCCCTCCGTACATCACCTTGACAATAAAAAAACACATCTAGTCTCCCAAGGTGTACCAGAAAAGAAGCCCTTTGGGGTCAGGTGGAGCTGGGGTGTGTGGTGCTCCGGGCCCCGGGCGGGGCTGGTTTAGCCCTAACAGGCAAGTCCCTTGAAGCGCCCCAAGTTCTTCATTCTCGGCCCCGGGGTAATGAAGCAGCCTGTGTGGAACTCAGCTATGGCTGCCAGTCCGGCGAGTCCAGGGTGCGTGGGGTGTGTGCGGGGCCCGCGTGCACAGAATCGACCCCAAGCCGTAGGTGACGGTGGACACACTGGGTACACTTCCCAAGTCTTTCTCTAGGACTGCACTCATCACGAGGTAAAGAGATAATTGGGCACGGAGGGCCGCGCCCCGTGCGCACGAGGACCGGGACGCGGCGAGAGGACCAGTGGCCGAGACCCCTGCCCTGGGGGACGGCAGGGAGCCCACGGAAGGGCTCCTGGGCCACTGGGCCTGGGTCAGGGCGCCCTGCAGGGGTGCCAGCCGCGGTCCCTGCGTGCGCTCACCGGGGTTTCAGGTCTGGCGGGGTGCTGGGGGCTGGGTCGCGGTGGAACGCAGAGGAGCTCGCCAGTATGCACAGTGCCCCGCCGCCCAGGGGACAGGGCAGCCCGACCCTGGTCCTCCCCAGACAGGCTGTCAACCCGCTGGCCAGGCGCTGGGGAGCCAGGCGCGGTGGATCGCGGGAGCCAGGCGGGGTCCAGGCAGGTTCCAAGCGGGGTGGACGGCGGGGTCCAGGCGGGGTGGACGGCGGAGTCCAGGCAGGTCCAGGCGGGGTGGATGGCGGGGTCCAGGCAGGTCCAGGCGGGGTCCAGGCGGGGTGGA